AATCCTGACCGAAGTGCTGTCCGAAGATAGACTGCGGCCATTCCCAGACATCCCAATAGTTACGACCGCATCGGTGCGGATAAAACGGATTCAAAGCCATAGTTGTAGTTATTTTTCGTGACTCGGAATACAATACAAAAATTAATTTTAATTGTTAATAATTATTACAAATAAATAATTGTAATTATATTTACAATTAATAACTTTTTTTCAGTGATTTGTTTCGAGAAATAGTTTGTTTCAAAATTTTTTAATGAGTTGTGAAGCGAAAGTGCGATCTCTTTATATACAGTTCTGCAGCGAAGCCAACGAATCGCATAGAATCGTATGGAAATGTATAGAAATGTTGTGCAGTGAAGAGCGCTTCCAGAATATTCCACACTTCTTATTGGATATACTCTCTATGCGTTTTAAGGCATCACTTGTTTACTAGTTATTCAAACACCAAAAGGGGTGGAAGTGGGGTAGGGGTGGGGCTATCTGGAGGGGTACTGGTAATTGTTAGGATATGCGGCAGCACCTGCACCCCACTGTTGCCCACCTCTGCCCCCATTGTTATACAGTATACCTACATTGTTATTCTGTCTGTCAAGCGTCTGAAATGTACTGTAAAGTTATTTTCAATGCGCGACACAAACTGTCATATATTACTATTACCAAGGTCAAATATTATTTGTTTTCTGTTATGGTTTTATATATTTTTACAGGAAACTATATGAATATTATTTTTATTGCGAATTATTGCGAATTTTTAATGATTGTAAACATGTATAATATTTTCTAGCATAACATGTTTTGAATAACATTTCTAGAATAATGTTTTTATTTGTTTAATTTTAGATTAAAATTTGTTACTATTAATTATTAAATGTTTATTATATTTTGTAACATATTTTAGCAATTAATTAAAATAATTTTATATTAAACTAATTAATTTGTATTAAATTACAAAATGTTTAAAAATACTTCATAACTAGTATCCGACAAATCAGGCACTTATTTGGTCCTTATTTATGTGTTAGTATTGGTTAGAAATGTTGAAAAGTGGTTAAAACATGTATTTCTCTGTTTTCTATCACTTTCTCAATTAGTTTAAGACTTTTTATGACTTCTGGGAAGAGAGTAATGAAAGGCAACAATAAAACAGTGATTTGAATACAGTCTCCACACACAAGTGAGTCAACACAGGATCTCTATTCCTCTTCTCCATTCATTTTGTATTACATTTTAATATAAATTTAATTAAATTATATATTTTTGTGTGGAATTAAAAGGAAAAAAGAGATAAATGTAAATCAAAGTTGATTTGAATTTAAAATACCACGTTTGCTATAACCGTGGAGAAACAACTGATGCCAGTCATCGGCAGTCCAGACGTCATTGCAAGCGATGACGACTATTCAGCGCATGAAGAGGAATATAACAGGATTTTAGCCGAAGATATGGACTAATCATTAAATAGATAGAAATTACTTTTACAAGAATAAAATTTTATAAGAGTAATAACTTAAAGTAAAAGTTAGAAAACTATTGAAAAATGACAATTGATTGTAGTATTGATGACATAATTTATTTAGTATAAAAGCGTTGACAATAGCGCCGAAACCATACAATTTGCTCGTCATTGCGGGTATATATCGGGCGCTTTGGTCGCTGTAAATTCACCCACATCAATATATCCGGTTCAACCTATTCATGTAAATTGGTTATATTTAATAGTCTATATGAAAACAATTAAGTTTAATCGTGTCATCTCAAATAAAAAGTGTATTCATATACCTGTTGATGAAGGATATAGATCAAAACTTTTGCATACAGTTTGCTCAAAATATTAGGCTTTCGGAAAACGGCCACTCTCAATATTGTTTGATCATGCTGCAATGGTACCGTAGCATCTAGGGTTAAAATTGGCCCCAGCATAGAGTTCTCGGCGCCTAACAGAATGGTGGACACAACGGGCGACACGAAACAAGATTTCATGGGTATAGTGACCAGGTTGNTACGGCCGGTCATCCGAGTGGACAGTCCGGCGGTGTTTATTCAAATTACTCATCGTTTTGAACGACTTCCCGCAGTCCTCGTAATCGCAGTCGTATTCGCGCAACACATCCGCCGATAGCCTCGTCTTATCGTCGGAACACTTCTCGCCGAACCGCTGATGATATTTCTGGTGGGTTTGCAAATACTTTTCGGTGGCAAACATTTTGTCGCATTGCGGACACGCGTAGGGCTTTTCGTTGGTGTGCGCGGCCGACACGTGTGCCAACAGATCCACTCGTTTGCCGAACCGACGCTCACAGCGCTCCCAATCGCACGCGTAGTTAAAGTACACGTATTTCTTGCGCACAGTCGCCGTCTTCGGTCGCTTCTTCGCCACAACAGCTGATCCCAAATCGTCGCCATTGTCTTCATTATGAGTTCGTTTGGTCCGCGGAGTCACACATTTTCTATGCGCTCGACTGTGAAGTCGGACCTCTTTGGCCGAACCGAAACTCTTGCCGCAGCCCTCAAACGGACACTCGTATTGACCACCGTTTGAGTGAATCACTTGATGGCTCTCCAGCGAGTCCTTAGCCTTATAGGCGGCGCCGCAGTCGGGCCACGAGCACCGGTACGGCCGCTCATCCGAGTGGACAGTCCGCTGGTGTTTCTTCAGATTGCCGTTTGTCGTGAAAGTCTTGCGGCAGTCGTCGTAATCGCACAGAAATGGACGGCACAAATCATTGTCGGCAGAGGTTCCCAACTCTTCAGTGTCTTCGTTATCAATACTACACGCCTTCTTGAGCTCCTCTATCGATGGCTTATAGTCGCCATCATCTGATTGGTCATCGCATGGACTGTCATTGTCTGACAGTCTGAGCCCTTCCTCCTCAGTCTCAGCCACTTCTTCAGCGTCGGGTCTAATGATGTGATCGTTGGCTTCGGCTCCTGTGGTCAACAGTACGCGAGTGATGGGAAACTTGACGGCATTGTAGACCACTTCCAGACCATTCAGTTTGGATTCGTTGCCGATATTTTGGTCGCAAAGACACGTGTTTTTGAAGTCAAACACCAATTGTCTGTATTTTTCCAACAATTTATTGCATTTCAAACTGAATCTCAATTCACGCCAAAGTCTCTCATTTTCTTCGCGTAACTCTTCGTACGATTTTTGGCCACAATTTTCGGCCATTATTTCCGCCGATAATTAATGTCTTAAATTGTGTTTTGGGTTTTCATATGAATTGCATTTCAATTGTCGTTCAAAACGTATTGTAAATTGAATTGAGTTTTCATTTTTGAGTCAAATTTTTTTGTTACACTTTTTCCTGTTTTGTTGACATCAATGTTAACTCCAAACACATTCACTAATAACGTTACGATTCTTTTTAAGCCCCCTCACTATTAATTCATTAAATGAATTTCATTTAACGATTATTATAACTTATAATACATTAATTAATTGAATGTTATAATTCCTAAATGATGATGGTAGTTTAGTTTAAATGTTTATCATTATGACAGCATCACCTGCATATTGTACCAAATATTTACAACCATGTACAACAATTAGCTATTAATATACTGTACAACATTTAATATACTCAAAATAAATAGCAAATATTATAATGGAATATAATATGGAATTAAAACTATTATAAATGCTTGCTATATATTCTATAAAATAATACATACATGTATTTATTTTAAACAAAATTGTTTATTAGAGAAAATGCAATAAATTAGATAAATGACAGGGTATTTGTTTTACAAATAAGTACATTATTATTATTATTGAAATTATATTGAAAAACAATAGAAAGTTATTAAATCTTTAGATATTAAATTGGAAATTAATTATTGGAAGTTATTTAATAAGAAATACTTATCATTATATTTAGATCATTACATAATTGTTAAACAAAAAAGACTTTGAATACAAAATTACTTTTAGATTTAAATTATTAACACAACACAAGATTTTTAATGTTTAAAAATTAGAAAAATAAACACAAAACAAATTTTTAACCATTATTATCTTAATTAATATTGAAGAATATACCAAATAAAAAAACACTGAGGGCTGAGCCTGAGCAAATAGTTAGCAAATAATGTACATTTTTAACTATTCACTATTAGCTATTCTATTGCTACTATTCTATCACTATTGCTACTAACTATTAACTATTCTATGTAAAAAGATAGAAATTACTTTTACAAGAATAAAATTTTATAAACGTAATAATTTAAAGTAAAAGTTAGAAAACTATTGAAAAATGACAATTGATTGTAGTATTGATGACATAATTTATTTAGTATAAAAGCGTTGACAATAGCGCCGAAACCATACAATTTGCTCGTCATTGCGGGTATATATCGGGCGCTTTGGTCGCTGTAAATTCACCCACATCAATATATCCGGTTCAACCTATTCATGTAAATTGGTTATATTTAATAGTCTATATGAAAACAATTAAGTTTAATCGTGTCATCTCAAATAAAAAGTGTATTCATATACCTGTTGATGAAGGATATAGATCAAAACTTTTGCATACAGTTTGCTCAAAATATTAGGCTTTCGGAAAACGGCCACTCTCAATATTGTTTGATCATGCTGCAATGGTACCGTAGCATCTAGGGTTAAAATTGGCCCCAGCATAGAGTTCTCGGCGCCTAACAGAATGGTGGACACAACGGGCGACACGAAACAAGATTTCATGGGTATAGTGACCAGGTTGACGCCCAATAGATAGATGGTCATTCTACTAACCATCTCATTTTCTGAGCCGTACGTTCTGTCAAACGAGTATTTAATACTAGTTATATATCGGGAACTATTGGTGGCCAAACAGTGGTCAAAGTAAACCATCATTATTTAATTACAACATTTTAACTATACTAATTCAAAATAATTATTTTTATATTTTGTTTAAAAATATATACATTTCTATTATTGCTAGAATAACTTACATGATTAGCACATTGCATGGTTAATTTCATTTCCCCTTCATATCTTAAATTGTGGCCATATTTAGCAATAATATCTTCGGGATAATAATCGGGGTCCGAGTCCTCCGAGTGATACCAAACATATATCACTTCATTCTTCTCTATTGTCTGCCATTTCTTTACCACAGCTTTCGCTGCCTTTAATTCAGAATCTATTAAAAGTCAATAGAAATTAAAAATAAAGTTTAATTAATTTATAAATAAATGTAATCTATTGTTATAGACATACCGTTGAGATTAGGTATGCGTTTGCACTGTCCGTCTCCGCCAAATCTCCAGCC